AGATGAAGGAATTACTCAACCAGGGTAAATTGTCCACCTGGACAAGAGAAGAATTTTTATCGAAGAAATAAATCTTCGCATTGTTTGTGCTACTCCTGCTGCTTGTGCTCTCTTTAAAGCTGTAAAAAATCCCCCATATTGACTCATGTTATTTCTTGGTGCTCTTTCAAGTGAAGCTTGCATACATCAAGTATGTAAAAATTCTTTGTTTTTTCATCTTTAAAATTTTCTTTTGTCTTGATTTCAGCATTGTTTCTAATGCTCATGCCTTCAAAATAAATATTTCATTTATATTTGATGAATAAAGAAAGAAGGCAGGCGTAATAAGGAAGAACGTAAAAAATCATGCGGAAGGAGTTTGCTTTCCTTTAAGGTAAATTTTATCACGTGTTCAACAATATAAAAATTGAATTTAAATTGTGCCATTAGGTAGGTCTTTAAATTTACGATTTCTTTCCGCTTTCCTCCCTCAATACTTATTCTTTTCATTTATATTCCTTGTTATGGTTTTAAATAATAGTCTTGTAGGTTTATATACTTAAAAAAAATAATATATGTAAATGTGTAGGAAAGTGAAAGAAAGATTGATATAGGTGCCAACGGTTAAACTGCTTTTTTATGCACAATGATTTTCCGGCAAAACAAAAAATCTCATACACATTATTCATGTTCTATTTATAATATATGTCGCGTTCATAGGATCATATTTCCTTCCACTTATACTTTATATGTTTGAGAACGTAAATCAAAATTTATGACAGAAGCTCATGATGATTATAGCTTGTGGCGTTTACCTTGTAAATTTTTTTATAAATGCTTTACGTTGTTTGGAGATCCTTAAAAAATTTATAAAATAAATTTTCTCTTGTCTTTTCATCTTCACGACCTCATGACTTGCTTGTTCCTAAAGTTATGAATTTTTTACCTATTCTGGTCTTTTTAAAGATGCGGAATCTTTTATCGGCAGCATTTTAATTGACAATGGAGAGCCACATTACCAACTGTGATATTTTTATGCGCATTAGTAGCTGTTTTCGGTGAAATAATTGAGCTACAGGGTATATTGTTGATAATTTGACTTGCTGTCTGGATTTTCTCTAAGATAGACTTAATAACTAGATGTCAACTGATGCAACCCAACTTCATCTCAGTTCCAATGACTCTGATCAAGCCTTAGGATGTTTGCCTACATTTGCCATGCATAGTAAAGTTGATTTATTAAGCAAAATACTGTAAAATATCATCAAATGAGCTTGTGTACCCAAAATTGATATTGATTAGCAAACAAATCTGATTCCTACAGATTTCCAAATGTTTACAGATTTTCACAAATTTATAAAATTTTTCACAGGTTTACAAAATCATTTGATTTATCAGACTTTACACAAGTTGTAAGATAGAAAGATAGACATATTGATAGATGAACAGAAATTTAAATAGACAGCTTGATTGATGAACATCTGGATTAGAAAGTATAGGCCATCGGAGTTGAATAAACATGCAAAAGATAGATGGAAATGTAGATAAATTGACGAATCGATGCTACCTAATTGATGAATGACTATTGTAATGCGCACTGATTCATTTATGTCCAATGTCTTCTCAACTTCCTTCCGTATCAAAAGTCCTTTTGTTTTCCTTCCCTTCTTCACTTTTACCTCAATTCTCTTTGTTTCCTTCCTTCCTTAAATTATTCTTTCTTTTTTATTTCTCATGACTCATACCATTGCAAATCGAAGACTTACATATCTAGTTCTTATACATTACGCAAGTAATAGAAATTACGCAGGTAAATTGTCGCTCACCCTAATAGAATTACTTTAATTTAATTCCCCTACACTAGTGTATTAAGGCAAAGGCAAAAAAGCAGTACAATTTGCATCGAAACGAAATAAATCGTGGGAAAATTATTTGCGATGGAAATATCTCAAGATTTATTTTTTGTTATGTCGAATAGCTCGACTTAAAATAAATCAACATCTTTTCCCATTTTCATGTGAGATCCCTTCCTTTAAATTTAGCCATTTCTATTCAATATTGTTTACTATTTTCACATTTCTATTTCCTATTCCCATGCAAAAAGACAGCTTGTGTATGTGAATTTTTTGTCCATAAACAATTATTTATACGAGATTCCTAAAATTTATTGCAGAGCGCCCTAAATGTTAGACAACCAGCATTGCACAACCGCTACTGAAAAAAATGGCACAATCAGCACATTGTAGCCAGCAAGTAGATTTAGAGTGCTTCTCAAACTTTATTTATTCGATTTCTGCATTGCACTTTTATTCCATCACGTTTCTGAGGTGCTTTTTTATGGTTGCACTTAATGGAATTAGAGTTTTGTTGCTGTTGTTTCTATTCTTTTACTTTATGAGAGTGAATGTGCTTATTCTCTTTTTTTTCTGCTCTATATTATTGGACATTTAGCAACACCTGGACGTGATAAATTGAAAATCAATGACGATTGTAGGAGCTGAAAATTTGTGTGGAATTGTGAGTTATTAGGAGAAGATAGAGCGCTTTTACTGTTGCTCACGAAGCTGTTTGGCTATTCGACTATCTGCTGCTGATGGCTTAGTGTTATCCAGATGCAAGTTTTTGACTTAATCTACTATGCAAATTCAATAAGATGCCTCAAAACATTGCTTGGTTATGTCTGCTTCTAGTAACTCCAGCCAACCAGACAGACCAAACTCAAAGTCTCATGTTGATCACATAAAACAAACCAGTAAGGCTATTCCAATACACATGCTAGTCAGTATGCGTTAAAGTGGACATTAAATTAGTCTTATGTTGTCTGTGAATAATTTTAACGACAATAAAAGCACATTAAGGAAGTTCATTTTGTCAATTTCAAACGAGGATGAGGATAATCTAGATACTAATTCAAGATGGATATCAAATGCATCTTTATGATTGTCTTTATATTGGCACTAATAAGTAGAATGAAAGTCAATAATAGATTAGATAGATACACATTAAAATTGAATGAGAAATTTAGAGGCATAAATAATCAGGAACTATACGAATTTGTCATGAGAAATCCACACATTGTGAATAAGGTAATTTTATGAATAATTAAGGATTTATTATCATCATAAATCATCTAAATGTATGATATCATTTATTTTAATGTCACGTACACGATTCATTCACACATATGTTATGGAATAACTACAACTAACATGCTTATACTTGATTCTAATGCCTGCCTAAAATTTTACTTCTTATACTTTTAGTGGATGGACTCGATAAGCTATTTTATGGAATCTAATGAAATGCCACTTGGCGTGGGAAAAGTTTATGAAGTTTTTGTAGGTATGCTGATGACTTTTATTATTTTCCAAGTCGTGCTGCTACAGAAACTCGTGTTAGGCTTTTTAATTGATGTTTCGGTGTGTGCGTGGGGGGTTTGATTTATGGCGGTTTAAGGACGAGTGGTGTACGCAAATCATAAGGGAGCATGATTAAACATAAAAGTGTGACACTTTGGAGTAAGAAGTGTTTATGATTAGTAATTCTGGTGGGCTTATTGTTGTATCATGGTGCCTGTTTATTGCTGCTGTTTATAGTGTAAACGTCAGAGTCATAAATTAATGCTTTGTTCTTAGTTTTATACTATTTTAGCACTCCATAGCAATGAGCCTGATATTATTGTCAGAGCCAAAGTTAAGCAGAGCCAAACTTACTATTTCTATTGTTTTTTCTTTGAATCAAAAAGAAAAAATATCTAAAATTACTGTTTTGTGATTTATGAGCTGGAAGGCTTTTAAATGAGAAACATGAGATAAATGGCATTTATTAGTGATCCAAATATACAAATCCAATTTTCACCCACAATCTTTTATTTCCAAGAATGTTCATCACAACTATCGGCAACAAGAAGTAAACAAATATTTTTATGTGTAAAAAGAGTTCCTAAAGGATATATCCTTAATCATTTTCTTGGAAATTGTTAATACCGTAGTTGTCAGAAAAAGTTTTTTCTTATAAATGTGGAAATACGAAAAAATCTTAAATTTAGACCAGAAGTCGAAAATAAAATGTTACGTAATATTTGGGGAAGTGACTTTTTGTACAAACGATTTTATATGAATAATTTATCAATGATTAGAAGTTTAGATGTACTTTGATTTTTGAAGCTAATGCTGGAGGAGATTATGGACTCCTTTTTGATATTTAAAGTCAATTTTTTATAGCTTACATGATTTCCTTTAAAAAGTGAATCTATCTTGAATTTCTAGTAATAAGGGGTCATTGACAAATGACGTTTTTGTATTTATGAGATTTTAAATCTTTTTTTTGGCCCACAAAGTCAATTTTCGATTGTTAAAAAAAATTATTTTTGATTATTGAACAGCTTCGTACTGATCCAACTATTAACTATTCGACGTCATACCTGAATGATCCCTAAACCAATAAAAAAATTCAATTCATCCATAAAAATAATTCAAAAGAAGCCTTTCACAAAAAAAAAAAACTAAATCAAGCATGAAAGAAAAATATATTTTTCCATCCATAAAATATCACGTTTTTCATCTTCTTACATCTCATTCCAGGCACTTACTCAATCTACTTTGTAGCAACGAGATTCGAAGAAAGGAAATCCATCACAATTCAAACGGATTCATATTTTCTATTTCTATCATCCTTTTCAATATCATTTCATGAGAATTGTAATTGTTCAACATTGCAAATCGAGCATAATTTCAATATTGATTCGATGCTTTTTCAAAATCTATTTGGTGATGCGATGAGGAAATTTCTTGAAGAGCGGCTTCAAAGAGCTTTGACGAATCTCAAATTGATGCTTTACAATCTTCAATCGGATGGATTGCATGTGTATTGAGCTGTATGTAATGAAGCAATGGGAGCATCGAGATTTTCGAGGGGATTTTAGTTTTTGAGAACAGATCATATCAAGGTTGTCTGAGGAGGAAGATTTATATGCTGAAAAGAATTTGCAGGGAGGGACGTCATTTATAAAAAGACATGATTGCGTTTTAAAAATTCTCGTTTATTGATTTCATTTTTGTATATAAATCAAGATTCTTTAAGTCATTCCTTACATTTGTAAAAGTATAAAAGTACAAATTAAAAAATGTTTGTAAGATTAAATGCTATATTATTGCATAAAATGTAGTTTCTACTAGATTAAAGGGGATAGTTGGATGTAGGGTAAGGGGGGAAATTGGTTTGTAATAAAGCTTTGATTTATTCTTATTTCTCATCATCATTATTCGGTCTTCATTTCCAAATTGGCTGACTCAAGCTTCTTAGTGTCGGAAGCAACTGGCGGATTTAATCCAGTTCCGGTATTAGCATCGTCATCTGTTCGTTCAAACAAATAGCTACTGCCTAAAGATTGTGGTCGGCCACCATACGAAGTGCTATTAGTGGAGAAAGAAGAATGCTAAATTTGTCAGCAACAAAAATTCAGAAGATTTTCGATATTTTTTTTTGTGAGTGGAAGTATGGAACACAAAAGTTTAGTTTATCGTATGTATTTTTTTGGATGAGAATGCAAATGATGGATAGACAAAGACAAAGAGAAAAGAAAAGAAAGAAAAAAAGAAAAACAAAAAATAAATTTCACATGCAAAATGATATTTACAAATAAAGCAATTGAAATGTGATTCTGGACAGTGAAGCCCTCTTCTTGGTTCTCATCTCAATAGCTTTTATTCCATAGTTACTGAGAGATATGTTACCATGTTGAATTTTTGTGTGTGTGAACATGTTTGTGTCATGTGTTGGCATTTTTTTTCTATAAACCACAGAGTCTGTGTTTAAAATTATAATTAAATGGACATGTAACTTCATGGTAACATACAAACATACTGTGGTTATCTAGAGGGTTAGGTTAGACATTAATTTGGATAGACATAACATTTTTTTTGAGTTGGGCAACAACTTTTTTTGGAAAGTTTGATAGCAAAATTAATGACAAATTAAAGCTAGTATTTGGCAAAACACATCAGTCGCCCTTCTTAATGCTTTCTATTCATTAACAGAGTGAGATGGTTTCCATGAGACTTCATTGTAACGCTCAGATAGATTTAAGGAGTTGGATTTTAATAAAGAACTATAGTCTGAAGAAAACTTTATGAATATAAGTGTTACAGCAGAAATATATTAAACTGTTGCAAAATTAACAAGTTTCATTACTTAAATGAAGCTTCTTGTATGTACAGCATCTCTAAATGTTCACATAAAGCATTCTCAAGTTATTCCAAGAAAATTAAACTTCCTCATAGAAACTATTTCAGAACAAGATATTTACATTCTCATACATTGCTGATAATTTCATAACAAACAATGATATAACAAGGAAGTGCTTCAAACTTTGAAGTGCAAAATAAATTTTGAGAAAGTCTTAAGCAAGAAAATTTTTACGTCTACAAAATATACACATATGAATTTAATGAAGTTTTTAAATGGAATTTATGTACAACACAAAACACAGCAAATATTTAAAATTATTCTCTGTCCATTAACCCATTTCAAAGAATCGAATCTAAACTACAAACTAGCTATTATGACAGGATGGATATGTGTGAAATTCACTTTTAAAATTTAATTGCGGAACTGATGAGTTCCGGTCGATTGATCTAAAACACAGCAAATATTCACACATGTCCCAAACTATCATCTAAAAGCTTTCTAAAAAGCAACAAAAGCAAACATGATACCAAAAAATAAAAATAAAGGAACATAAAAAATTTACCTGACTTTATCCTTATTATCTAATTCATTATTGCTATTATTCTTATTATTATTCGATGCTGAACTTCCGCCAGTATCTACCCCAATTGTGTTCGATGAGACAGTTTGTGTGTTTGAGGAAGAGGATGAGGAGGAGGAAGAAGAAGAAGGAGGTTGTGCTGGCTTTCCTTGATAAAATTCTGGCGGTATCAATGGTGTTGTGTGCGGTGAATATTGATGATGCGATTGAGATGATGATGGCGGTTTATTATAAATACTATTTGGACCAAGTGGCCTATGTGCTTGTTCATAGAAATTTGATTGTGGATATTGATTTGGTGGTGGTTGTGGCCTGTAATTTTGTGGAGTTTGAGGATCGAAAGGAGGACGATTCTCTATTTCGTTTGCAAAGTAATAGCCTCTACCCGAATTATCGAAACCAGCTGTTCCTCTATGTATGCATAATTTAAGTTTTTTTTTGTTGCATGTTGTGTGCAAAAAATATTTTTTTGTGATGTGGATATGGAAAAAAGTAATTTAATGTATATTGTGTGTATGGATGGGAGAGACACATAAATTAAGGACACATATTTGATATTCATAGAAGAAGCCGAATTTGCCATAGAAAAAGAAAATAGAAAAAAATAGAAACAACATAAATTAGTTACTCATGAATTTTAGTGACATGATAAATTAATCTTACAGACACACAGGCAGTCATACATAAACATTTATTGCATAAATAAAGAATTAGATTCAAATTTTTCATTCTTATGCTCATTTTGACATGTGGAGAGGCAAAAAGTTGATGCTTTAATCTGAATCGGATGTCATTCTGTGGATATGTAGAGACTATGGAAGAACCTGCTAGTAGTTTTTTTTATAAAGGGTCAAGTTAAGAGCATTCACATTCATAAAAATCATTCCTACATGTTGCAACAAGAACTTTAAAGTATTCTCGATACACAGTCAACAAAAAAGAAGCTTCGGGATTAAAATTGAATTAGAAAAAGAAGCCCAAAGCAGATATGAAGATAAAAATCATGCCTTTCCTCATCGTCATGATATTAAATATTTATTTTTTCCTTTTACGCATATAGTCTCCAGAACATCATCGTCATAGCTATAAGCTGAGATATATCGTATGCTTATATATGCTATAATAATGAAAATTCCTTCATTCTCATATTTCAATTGCACACGGCCATAAAAAAGCTTTTAAAATTATTATTATTATTATTATTATTATTATTATTTTATTTTAAGCTTTTAAGAGCCAGACCGTGTCATGGCATTATTACATTTTAATTATATATAATTAATAAGTTTCAATGATTTTGTAAAAATCTTTTAAGAAACTTATGAAAATTTAACAGTAATTTGAGATTCAAAGGCAAAAAAATTATTAACTGATATTCAAGATTTAAAAAAATAAAGTTCAAAAATTGATCATGTGTTTGTAAACAGCAAAAAGTTTGTCAACATAAAATTTAAATAATAATTTAAAGACATTAAAATTGGACTAATGCGGACGGTGATATCATAGAGAGGCTTGATGACATTAAGAACTCATAATCAGACGAAAATCCAGGAGAATAAGCTAAGTTGCCGTTTTAATTATAATTTTATCAAAATAAATAAATTTTGTATGTCGAGAGCTATTAAACATGCGAGCCATACATCGCGATATATATGTTTTTTTTTTGGTGTTGTTCCGTATGAGTGTGCGATCTGTGAATTAATCTTCTGTCTCATTCTGTTGCTGCTTACTTTTTTAAGTGGAATTTATTTCAATACATTTGATTGTTAAAATGCAAATACCATCTACATAATATGAATGTGCACGAGGTTTGATAACGAAAATTCATTCATTCAAGCCAGCCAACCACACGGTATGAAATATTTTAATTGAATTATTTATAAATAATTTGAGGTTGGCAAAAGGCGCTTAGCATACACTTTACTTTAGCTATAATGATTTTCACTCACAGGGGCATGAATATCATACCATAACATACACATTCGCTTGCCTTAACATCAACATGAATATTGCCGATGCCTGTTAAATTATGTGACAATATTATGTTATGCATATGATTCGCTTTTGCTAAATAAATTTTTAATATCTAACCACCTTTCGCTCGTTCAGTCTAATTTTCTGCACATTATGATTTGCTACTACCTCGCTGTGATAGGAATAAACAAGATGGATGAATAATGGTGACCAAAAGCTTCTGAAGCCCAAGCTTCATATCACGGAATTCTTTGGAGTCAATATAATTTAAATGAAAGCCTGAACATCAGGTAGCTTGAGTAGAATACTCTCTTAACCTACCTAAGACGGCCAGCATGGGCTAGAACCAATTAAATTTCACTCTAATTCTAAGTGTGGAAGCTCAACAATCACTAAACTATTATTTTTTATAATTTGCTTCATCATTCGTAGCAATATTGACGATGCACAGGTAGAAAACTTTTTTATGTTATTTTTATCAGCGGAAGTATAAATAATTAATAATTTATACAGAGCACTAAAAACATAATTAAACTTTTTTCTCCCAATGCTATGCATTTCATCCGCAAAAGCAGCTATCATGATGCATTTTTTATCATCAATAAAAAATCAATGTATATAACTTGTGGGGTGTTAGAGATAATTTTTTTTTCTCTACATTATAAACTTTACTTCCTGTTCTACATGACTCTGTTTAAATATGCTGAGTCAAATAGATTCTATACATGCTCATGTGTTGATAGTGTCTAGATGATTACATGAAAAATAATGTCAATAGGTCTTTGACACTCATTGCATGACACTTTACATCTTTACTGATTGCAGTATATACAATTTTATGTGATGTTGCTGATACTCATCATTATAAATCGTACTGACTGAAGACGGATAGAAACAAAGCATGAAAAATTATGTCAATAACGTGTAATAGAATTTCTTTTCAATTTTCACTAACAACTAGTCATACATTGTATGGAGGAAGTACTCTACTAGTAAGATATGTATGAATAAAAAATGAGTAAAGGATAACGTGGTGGATAGAATATAGGAAGTGAAGAGGTATTTTACGCAACGATGGAGATTTTCATTCCGCTAGACTTGGAAAATTGTTATAGATACATAGTAATTTATTGGAAAGAATGTGAGGAACAAGGAATGGAATAATAATTGGGTTATCGATGGAGATTGTGAGAATTTTTACTGGTGGTTGTGGGCAGGGATGTACAATAAATGTATTGCAATTGCTTGATATCCCTTTTCCAGCACTGATTAAACTAATCATAAGGAATGGGTTTGCTAGTGTCAATTCTGAGCTTGTTATTAAAATTTTCTTGTGTTCACTATGCATGAACAATTGAATTACAGCACATGATAGAAGCATATTGTGATTAAATGTAAATTTACAGCTTCTTTTTTTCTGAGGATAAAATTTTCATTTTTGATGCAGAATTTTAATTGAATTTTATTGAAAATTCTGAGAATGACAAGCATTGATCTACATTCTGAATGATGCATTTATCCATCACAATGAGGACCGCAAAATTTCATCAAAATCACCACGTCAAAGCTCACAAAAAATGCCATCAAACTAATACAATTAACCTCAAATAACACCAAATAAACCATCATCAATTTCAAAGAACCCAATTTCATTCATATAAAGCCATAGAAAAAGAGAGCTCTAAATTTAGATTTTAATAAACTGATATCAGTTACGTTCGTCTAAAATATAATGTTCCACATGAATGAACAAATTGCTTCGCTTGCTCAAAACAAATTTAATTTTCATTTATATCCATTGGCTATATATTTATTTATGTGTAAATATGTAAGCAAGTTGCACACTTGAACCATTATTGGAAAAAAAAATATTTGTAAAGGGATGAATGGATGTGTTTATGTCGTAGCTTGACTCATAATCCGAATGGCTTAGAAGGAGTAAAGTAAAATATTTTGTTGGGCCAATTTATGAGATGTTAATGCTCACAAATATTTATTTTATTTTGAGAGTTTTATTGAATCTGGCTCGATTTGACTTTATTGGGGTGTTAAGGATACTTTTGGAATGTTGAATGGTTACAATACTAGAAATCAGTAACGAAAGAAGCTAGGAGCTAGTTGCTGGTACCTAGTAATCTAGTTGCTGGTTGCTGGTAGGCTAGTAGCTAGTAGCTGGTAGCTGGTAGTCTAGTGGCTAGTATCTGGTACATACTAAATTAGTAGCTAGTAGCTAGTACAAAGCTAGTAACTAGTGATTCTTGTCATAGTGAGAGTTGCCAGAAAAATGACAAAGATTATTATGTCTTTTCCAAAATCAGTCTGAATTTCTCCCACAACCTCAAATTTTTAAACAATGGACGACCCAAAATATTTCAAAAATTTCCATATTTTTCTTCCCTATCATCCAATTTAAATGTTAATCACGTTTTAATTTTACAGCAATAAATATTTTCATTCCAATTCTCCAGATCATCATCATGCATGCATCCATTCACACAGCATATATTCAATATATTTTTAAAATTTATTTCATTTTTACTCCTGTAACAATGCACGAACAGAAGAGCTCATCAAAAAGTATGTGCGGTGTATTGGGAATTGAGACTTAAATTTAAATCCATCCATTCCAATTATAAATAAATTTTAAAACGTATATCCGTACATCATTGATTGATAGTCACATAAAAGAAGAAGAATTTTTGCAAATATAAAGTTTAAAATGGATATTGAGAGGATGGCAAATAATGGAAAATTACACATGTATTTCACAGTCGAATTGTATTTTAATAAGCTTAACTGCTCATTGATTCGGAAAATATACTTCTGATGTGTGCATTTATGGTTCTGCTTTTGCAATATCGATAATTGACATTTTTCGAAGTAATTAAAAAAGATATTATGCGTGCACATTTATTTACCTGTAGGTTTCATCATAAGGTCGGAAATTGCGGTTGTCATAATAGCCACGATTTGGTCGTTCATAGGATCTGTCGTAATATTGATCATATCCATAACTGCGTTCTATAAATCATGATGAAATAGATAGGAAATTATAAATTAGCTTTTTGTGACTATGAAAAATTACGCAAAAATTCATGCAAACAGATTTTAGAGTAGCTTTCTACGTGAGGAAATGAGATATGATGTGCGAGATAGAGATAACGACCAAATATAGAACAAATTAATGATTTCAAACTAAAGCTATAATCTTGATTGAAACAAAAGCATGATAAAGCGATTTGTGCTACATAATACAGCCTCCAGCTAATTATAGAACTTAATTTAAACTTAATAAGAAAAATGAAATAAAGATTTTTAAATTACTTCAGGGATTACTCGATAATTATAATTAACATATCAAATGAATTATGAAGAGAAGAAGAGTAAGAAAGAGAGATAGGAAGCATGCAGTAAAAGTTAAAACATTTCGTTGTATGAGGATTTTGCAATTCTTATTTTTCACTTGGAGCAATTAGGAGATAAATTTATTACAATTTTGTAAAAGTGTGTTCTTTAAGTTTTGTTATTTATTGGATTTGCTGTTGGTAATTACACGATCTTAGTAATCTTGGTATAGTGAAAATTGCCAGTTATGATTGAAGATAATTTTGATCAATTCTAAGTGCGAGAATAAATACGTCTATTGTAAGGTCTGAATCATTATATAGAATTGGATAAGGATGATCTATTTGTTTCTATACGAAAGAAATTCAAGGAAAGATTGCCATGCGACGTACTTTTTAATAACAAGATGAAAGGTAAGTGCCTCTTTATTGTTATTATTTATTTGTAGACAACATTTGTTGGAAGTATAGAAAGAGGGTGTTGTTGTTATAACTTGATTAATCTGCGTTACATAGCTTTTGACATAATTTATGAGAGTACGGCTTTAATATTCATTTCCTAAAAGTTCTGTAATTATCCTTCAAATCAATTTCATATTCAGTTGTATCATGATTCCAGGCATTAACAAATTTTTATGAAATCCCTCCAATAAATATCAATTAAAATCAATTTGAGATATCAATTACATATCAAAGCTTCGTAATACCTGTCAAATAATTCATAACCATTCCGTTCTAATCATTTTCATTCAAAAACACAAAGTGCTGCCTGAAGCTCTTGAAATAAGAATCTAATTAGATGCTATCATCATGAATGTAATGAACACTCTAATGAAAGTAATTAAATAGATCAATCTTCGCCGTCTTGTATCAAGTTTCCTTTGAGGCAACAAAGCTATTCTTTCACATAATTAAAATTTCATTAATGAACAGTCTGTGCGAATTTTACGGAATATTATTTTACAGTTCACGGACTTATCCGCTACAAATTTTTTTAGGTTAAAGACCTTCCGATTTGCAATATCCAATTTTCAACTTTTAATCTAAAATACCAATTTGATTTCATCATAAATGACAATTTCAGCTAACCATCCAAGTGTCAATAAACTCCTCGTAATTGCTTCAATAAAAAATACTTTTTTTTGGTTTTAAACATTTACCACGTTGGAATCGATCTCGCATTGCATCATAATACGATGGATTTAAATTGTCATAGCCTAAATGTATATACACAGGTACAATTTAAAATAAATATAGACAAGCATATAAATATAAAGAATTAAGTTGTTAAGCAAAGCGTGGCTGAAAATTTGTCGCAATTTTGGACATTTTTTTTAAGAATAGAAAAAAAATAAAAAATTTAAATTAAATTTACCGTTTCCGCGGTAGGAATTGTAGTTGTAGGGATCAGATTCGTAGGTATTTGTTCTTCCGTAATATCTATCATCGTATCGGTTGTAGCTGTCAGCAAAAAAATATTTTTACGATGTAAATTTAGTAAATTGTACGGTTGTTGAGTTTATTTGAGTATAAACAGCACAAAAAATAATTGGAACTAAGGACAAGTGGTTGTTAAACTAGATTACTGAATGTTTGACATCAATTTGTCAGAATGGTCAGTCACTATGACATAATTCGGCTAAGATATGCCAACCACTTTAACCTCCTCCAATATTTCAAATGCTGCCTTGCTCTACCTTACCCGTAATACCTAGATTCTGGATATCTTGACTCTGGTTGATAATACCAATTGCGATCACGGTAATTTCCATAAGAATTACCATAATACTGATCACGTCCATAATATTGTGGATCTTCACGTCCTCTATAGTAGTCTCTATTGTAATAATCACCATAATATCTTTTAATACCCAACACATCAAATTCATAAAGCACAAAAACCATCCGGATACAAAATAAAAAGAATTTTTCAATCAGTTTAATGTCCAAAAATTTTTAAATTAATTTGATGCTTTTTGATTTGTGATGAATAAGAGTTTTTAAAACAAACCTATCGGCATAATTTCCATAGCCTGCTCCAGATCCATATCCACTAGTTCCATATCCACCAACAGCTCCAGTACCATAGCCTGCACCACCTCTGGTTTCGTATGGACTTCCATATCCACCTGTATTACAACGTACACATCGTTGTCCTCGACTAGCGCCAGGTTGATCAATAATTTCTTTGTCTGATGCTTTTAATGCAGCTGATCTGTATAATGAACCGACAATTCCTTGGGATGTTGGAACTTGTGATCGTGTCTCGTCATTATTGACCGCGAGAGTCCACACCAATTGAGTTGTCAGCGACAAAAGTAGACCCTGAAAATCATTTTTATTGACAAAAAAATAGGGAAAGATGTAAAATTACGTCATAATTAATTTATTGTGATTGTAATTATTTCATAGCATGCAGCTACGATAAATAAATGCGAATCATTGAGCAACCGCAAGCGTCTAACCATGAGACGGTTTAAAAAATGGAAATAGAAATGAATAAATGTTTAAAAAGAGTCAGCATATGAAAATTAAATGAATTTGTTCACACATCAAGTCAAGTACATAGAGTCGTGTGACACGCACGACTAGTCAACCATAATTCCATTTTCATGATTATTTTGTTGTTGGTTCATTTTTAGTAAGCGTCTAGTACTGTGACTTTATGTATATAATCCGTCCAGCGGGCAGACTTAATGACTCTCATAAATATATATCAACGATATCGCAACGCTAATTCTTCATTCTAAATCATTCTCTCGTTAACAATTTTGCAATCGTTTAAAATTCAATTAAAGTGAAATTTTGTAGAACTAGCACGAGAAAAAAAAATCGAATTACCATATGGCTTCTATGTATGTACTGAGAGCTGTTGATTCAAAACTTTTATTTTTTATTCATTTATTTATATTTAGTACGGATTATTTTTTCACTATGTGCATTTGAATTTAGGTCAAATGTTGATGATTTTTTTTACTATATATATTTATTTATTGACATGTTGAATTGCAATGCGGAAATTCTTTATTTCTTTTTCATCATATTTATTTTTGATTGACTGATTGAAATGAATGCGCGAATTGTATAGATTTGAATTTTTCATTCAATCCTCATCGAAATGTGTTAATTGAAGTTATATTCATATTAATCGATATGAGGAATGCAGATTTGATTGGAAAATGCTGGAAAATATTAAAATGCTCTGTTTAGTGATGGAGGTAGATTGCTAATTCTGGGTTGGCTGCGATACTAAGAAAAATTGAGTTTTAATGAGAATTGTGAATACGTCAGACCTCCCATAAATTTTTTAAAACCACAAGTTTTCTCCGAAAGAGTCTAGAAAATACTTTGAAGCGCCGCAAATAGCCTAATTAATCATTAATGACTACGTCTTAATCTTCTCATCCATAAAAAGGTCAACCTCACACTCATAACTTCATCATTATAAAATTAAACAAAGACTAGACAAGTGTCTAAAGTGATGAATTAATCTAATTTTATATCCCGTTAAATTACTACAAAATTGAAGATGTTTCTCTCAATTAAGACAAATCAAGATCTTTTGAGCAATGCTTCACATTGTAGTAAGACCTTTATGTAACAATACAATAGCTAAAATTAATTTACCATATTTTTTGAGACATTAATTTCGTCATTAGCTAATTTGATTAGTTTCGATTTAACAAGCTACGCAAAATAACTGAGCACTAAAGAATAATTAGGCGTAATTTTGCTTAGATCTTATCTAAAGTTGAGTTTGTCATAATATCCTTTTAATTGTGACATTATATCGTTTCAAGAAACATAATTGCGATTATGAAAGTCGCACGGAAGCTTTCCTGGAGGCATTAAAGTGCTCGTGATAAATGAAAAAGGGGGTGTTAAGCTATGACGGTTAATAGTATTGGATAAGTTATAGATTAGAAATGAAAACCACAAAGACTGAATTCAACAACGAATCTACAAAATGTTCATGAATTTATGGTTTGAAGCATCTAGAAAATTGGACATCACTTGTGAATTACTCCATCGCCAACAAAAAAGAGAGATTATTATCATAGAAATTTTATCTCATTAAAATTACATTACCATAAACACGCCCTCATATGCTTTACATAAGTATTAAAAGAAGCTTAGAAATCCCTTTTTAATTAAATTAAAGCACCAGGCAAAAAATTGTAATCTTCCTTTAAATTTTACATGATTAACTTTATCAGAAATTTATAATCTAACATGATAGAGGTTGATTGGAGAATGAGGGAAGTAGAAGAGTAACTAGGAATGAAAGGTTTGGGTGGGACAAAGATAGTGATAATTTAAATCTACAAACTTATCCAAGAAGAACTCCATTTCCTGATTCCCACGTGCAAAACCATAAATTTTGCGCAACAATGATCCAAAGGATATAAAATTAATGATGCTCTCAAAATTAACGAGGAATTTATTTGTTTGGAAAGCGAAAAGGAAAGTTTTCCTCAATCAACAGCACAAAAAATGATGAAGATGAAGAAGTTAGCATGCTGTCGCATGAAAAAGTTTAATTTTCCCTTTTTTTTATTCTTCGCCAACGGAGTCTCTCGCTCTTTTGTTTACTCATGTTTTCTCATGAACTTTAATTAATTTTTTTTCCACCTTTTTCTGTATCTTTTGCCGGTTGAGGTAAGAACAAGAAAAAGGAGGAAGGAAAATTTTATTTTCACGCAATAAGCTCCTCGCTTCTCGGTATTTATTATTACTTTGGAAAATAATGAAACAGTAATGTTCACAAAATATCGGAATGAATGAATATAAATGTTGTCAGGAGGTGGAGATTGTTGGGTAAAGAAACATAAAAGTCTATAAATTTTCAATGCCAGCAGCTTTCACGTTAACAACAACCTTTTACCTATAATTTTTCATTATTTCTTTTACCCATTATTATGTGTGTATATATGCGGTGTGCTATACATTATAACATAATGGAACTATCTACAAACAACAAGTCATTTTCGGTGAGATCGCAATTTAAAGACTGTGAAATAGAATTAAGAGCATAACTTTGTTTGCGTGTCTTACAATAAGAGTCATTCAATTTACTCTTTAGCTGGGGTTTAAAGAAAACAAGGATTATGTCTTGATGCTATGTCTTGCTTGAATTGTTTCTGTTGGGGTTTATTTGCCGATTTGTAATTTTTTGAAGGTTTTTGAAAGGAGTTTTAGTAAAGGACCTTCCCATCTTGATTGACCAAAAATCCTTTTAAGTTTATTGCTCTTCCCACGGAAAATGCGATAAAAGCTTTAAATCAGTGTTGCAAATGTAGATGTCTACACTTCATGAAGAATGTAGATTCTTCAATAGTTTTTATCTAGCTAAGAAACTTTCTTCATAAAGATCGATTCTACATGAAGATAGAAAATCTAATCTACACAAAGATTATTTGTACATAAAGATTCTGTCTACATAAAGATTCGATGTAGATGTCTACAATTCTACATTTTTCCAGGTCTACATCAGAAAAGAATGTAGAATTATAGACATCTACATCGAATCTTTATGTAGACAGAATCTTTATGTAGAAATAATCTTTGTGTAGATTAGATTTTCCATCTTCATGTAGAATCGATCTTTATGAAGAAATTTCTGTCTCAGAATTTATCTGATCCAGACAAATAGCCAGAATGCAACACTGCTTTAAATCAAGGCTACACAAAATGTTTACATCACCCCTAACTTCTACATTAGAAATATAAGTGTCGAATTGAATGATGGAGTTCTTCCCCGACCGATTTTCTTCTACAACTTACACCGCCTCGCCGTTACTGTTTTAATAACCTTTTCGTGTTTACTAAATATACAATACAAAGAAAGGATTGAGGGCTGCAAAGATTTGTCGCCTTTTTCTTTTGTGTTGTGTATATTTTATTGCCTTTTAAGGTACAAAATATAAAAGCGTCTGTAAAGAAGGAAGGCTTCCTTCTGGCTATAATTAGTGAGCATCTTTAATAATAAAAGAAGGGTTAAATCAATGTTTTTATTCACGTTCATCACCTCTCGCCTTCCATGATATTGAGACTAATTAAATATTTATCAACTGCTGTACAGAAATACATAAGGAAACGCTCATTGTGTAAGCGAGAAAAAGTTGTGTTCTTTGCAGATATTGAATGGAGGTAAATGTTTTGGTAAACGAGGATAATGTAAGAAAATTCCATAGAACTTGATGACTAGCAAATTGACTTGGAATTGAGAAGTTAAATATCGACATGAGAAACTCAATGACTTTGACATCAAGTATCCAAACAATTTCTGCAGAACTTTCTAGGGTATTTTTGGAATTTCTTGATAAAGTTATTTATAATTTTTGATGTAATTATAATTAAATCTAATTAATGATTGTGCTTCTTCATCATCATTCTTTGGTCCGAATAATTGAGCATTGCTCCATGAACAATATCTGAGAATTAATGTGAATGAAAGGAAAAATTAATTGAATCTGAAGTTGTATGATTTCAAAGCTGTATTTTTATAGACTAGAGCAAAGCTTTGAGGGGGCGAGGATGTAAAATTTCAAATTTTTATTTTATCACCTTTTCTGGCTCCTTCATTTGACTAAATGAGGAAATGATTAAAGTTTTATGATGATCATGGGTTAGGAATCATATCAATGTCAATCGTAATTGACCTCATTTCATGTAATTGATCAAAAATTTAATTATCCGTAGTTCTTTCCTATCAATGCTACCTTAAACAATTTCATTTGGTTACCAGCATATCCCACAAACCACACATGTCCATTACTATGCCAATGCATAATTTCAATAAAATTAATTAAATATCGATCCCATTGTAACATTAGTTCCAAAATACCTCTGGAAACTAGTAATTCAATAAATTAGTTCCTTCCACTAAAACTTTTTTAATTGCCTGTGGTTAACACACACAGAATTATCAAACTAGCCACAGCCGAATCAACATCATAAAATTATATCATTCTAGATACCTAAAAATGATTTTCCGGCTCTTAAAAAATATTTTTTGCGGTCACTTCTCTGAACCAAAAAAAAATTTGATAACACAATATTGTTTCTGTACAGCTTAGTGTCGAGGGAAAAGTTTTGGTGCAGTATAATAAAATTATGAAAAAAAATTCTCATTCTTTGTTTTTTCATAAAAATAGTTGACGTGTGACGTTTTTGCCTTTAGTGTATATCTCAGATCTTCCGTTCTTTATCATTAGATTCCACAGACAGTAGAGCAACTTTTTTCATTCAAAATATTCTTATTTTTTTTTCGTGTGATTCGCATCCGTAGAGCAGAGAGATAGGAAAAATTAAATGAATGAATACCATGAACTGTGAGAATGAACGAGAGAAGCAAGGAGGAAAAAAAAGTCAAGTGAATAATTTATATTTTAATTTACTGGAGAGTTTTCAAAAGTTTATGAAAATTGTTAATTAAGGACGGATAAAAAATGTTTCGAGAGACATTAATGAGCTTTCTAAAGTTCTTCAGACAAAGAAAAATTGTTTCATTCATCAAAATATGACATGAATCATGTGTTTGAAGGATGAAAACTTCTTGTCCTATGTAAATAATGAATTTGGGATTATGTAAGATGAAAAAGTTGGCAGAGAATGATGAAGTACATGCTGTGAGGGATACGATGTGGTTTTAAGGATTTATAGACGCATTTTTAAGGGTTATCAAGTTTTTGGTTCTAAATGCACCCCTAGCTACACCAAAACCAGGAAAAGCAATTCAATTCTGAACTTTGTACACGCAAATGCATTGTGTAGACAACAATAAGTTGTTAAAAAAGAACAAGCAGTACTTTTCATGCCTTCATAACCACAACTTTAATTTTCTTCAATGTCAAAACAAACATAAAGTTTGTCTACACTAATTCGCATTAATATGATACTTTTATGAAGTTATTAAAAACTTAATTGTCATTGACAGACATGCAAAAAATTTCCAGAACTTTTTGGGAAACATTTTTGAATTGGGATGCTTGAGGCAATAAGGAATATTTCTAAGAAATTTTAAAAATTCCTTCTGAGAATCCAATAAAAAAGCATAATGTCAAGCATATTATATTTTATAGTCATGTCTATTGCCTAAAACTATGAATAATTTAACAAGGACCGAGTGATATTTCTGACATTTGTTGGCCTGATGTCATTAAAATGCAAATTAGAGTTGTTTTCAGGCACATTTTATTAGTTATGAAAACTTTTTCGAAACAATTTAAATTTTAATTTGGAAAATTTTGTGATAAAATTTATATTTTGATACTTTTTTGGTCCTTTGGGCAAATAGAAGCAAAAGAAAATTAAAGCTATATGACATTTTATTTCAAAGAAGTCAAAAACAAGTTATAACAAAAAATAAAATGAATTCCTTCTGTCGTCTTCAAAAATCATCAACACCTAAAGTCTAGATTTAATCGAATTACGTCTTGTAAAATTAAATGCAGACAAGCATGACTACGTAGGAATGCAGACAATTGAGAAAACAAATGTTGCTAACAGCAATTGTAATGAGACTTTTAGAAGTGAAGCAAAAATATTCCACAAAAGCATGAGGTCGTCAATTTAATTGATTGTTCCACGCATTATTCTCGTTATTAAAAAAATTGAAGCATAAAACTTTCAAGCAGTCATTAAAAAGATTCAAGTATGCATTAAAGTGAAGGAGGTTCACAATGAATGAATGCTTAAGATCACTTATGAGAAAAAAACAACTTTTTTTCATGATTACGTTATTAAAAAGGTAGCTGTTTGCAATTATGATGAATGAGTTAATTACAAATGAGAAAAAGTTTTGGGTCAAAATTATGAATGAGAATTCTTAAATAAACACGTGTTGGATTCACTCTTTTTAATGCTTACGCAAACTTGGCCTTTTTTTTTTGCATCAACCAACGCGAGTTAGAACAATTGATTTGAACACGACGGCTGTGGAATAGCTGATGTGTTAAATATGTGTTGGATGTTCAACTCTATCATGAAAAGGTCAAAAACACTCGTTCATGAATAAACGAATTATGGAAATTTGTCTACTTTATCTACATAACAATTTGACCTCAACTTTATGCTGATGAGTCGATTTCTAGTGAATTGAGTTTGTGAATTGGGATTAAATCTGACTGACTGGATGTGCTGTTTTAAACAGTTCATTTTGGTTAGAAGGATTTGAATACTTGGGAATGAGTTGATGAAGATTTTCATATAGCGTAAAACACGAAGAGATGTATGATAAGGGCTAGGTGCAGATTTTATGTCACTAGATGAAAGTTCTTAAAAATTAAATTTAAAACAATGTCATTCATGAGTGATCCTTCAACACAAAACATTTCAAAAATTTACATTCTAATCTACAAATCCACAGATCACTGATTCTAAAGTCACAAATGCGTTTAAGTCAATTAACCTCACTAATACTCCAAACTTAACATCTATACTTTAGGATGAATTGTTTCAAATCGTCTCTGTCGCTTAACATTTATTCAGAATTTTTCATTTGTTTAAACATCTATAGAATTTGCATTTAGTACAAAATTTGCGTAATAATACATTCAAGTGATCACATTCAATTTTAGTAAGTGCCATTGAACGTGGAAAATCCAACAGCGACAACAAGAGAGGGAAAATTTCTCATTATTTAATGATGATTTTTATTTTAAAAAAATGCATATGAAAGTGAAAATTTATTGCCCTCCATACAATGTTTCAAGTTCGTTATTCATTTTTATACCTCATTCATTCATTCTTTATTATTTTTTTCGATTTCATTGAGTGGAAATTCATGGGTTTTTGTGCACATGTTGGGTACGGTTGTTTGTTTACTTAAACTCATGTTTATTTGGTACGGTAACAAAGTGTGATCATTTTTGTTTTTTTTTTGAGGGGGCCGCTTCCTTATGATGTCTGCTAATATTTTGAATTTTCAAAAATTTACTGACTACTCCTCTTTTGTTGGATTAGAGCTAATTAAAGAATTTTTCTCATCTAGACCAATCTACCCAAAAAGGATTTGTCAAAAAACAAAACTTTAAATTTCTTTTCAGGCTTGTAGCCAGGGGGTGGATTTGGGGGACAAATCCCATTTTTCTAGAGTTTTTATGAAAAACCCACCCCCCCCCCCTCCCCCCCTAAAAGTTTTCCATACAAAAAAAAATTTTTTGTCCCATCCCATCTCTTCAAATTCCTGGCTACGACCCCGCCTCTTTTTACTTCCATTAATTCATTAAACATTAAAAGCATAAATCCCCTTGAGTTCAAACCAGAAATTTGTGTAATGAAAATTTGTTTTTCTAATCAAAAAGTTTCAAACTAAATTGAAAAGTTTGTATCGTCTGTGTAGCTACCAAATAAAATATTCTCTCAGGAACAAAAAAAAATTGAATAAATAACAAGAGAATAGATTGTTCCTCCCACTACCTCCCCTTCTTGACTTACATACAGAAATTGATTTATTTAAGAAACTATTATGGCTGCATTTTAAAAATTCATAAAAAGTTATTATTATCCCTAGCAAAAATCAACGAACAAGTAAGAATGGAAAATATTTTATGCATTTAAAACAATGAAAAATCTTCTAGATGCTGCTCTATAAAATCTTTATGCAAAAATTTCACCACAAAAAATGCAAATTTCTTATCCATGGCTATGTGCAAGTGAAACAAAGGAACTTGAAAAATTTTCATATTTTCATTAATTTTTTTTTTTTTGTGGAAGATATGAGAAAAGCTCGTGAGAAATTTGTAATTGATGAAATACTTTATTTGCTTAATTTATGAGTGACTAACGTTTTGTTGTGGAAAATTTTGATTACTCTATTTGAAATTCTATGGAAGGAATCTTAAATCAGCATGAAATTTAAAGTTTGATGAGTTTTAAAATTCAGTTGCTAAGTATTTGAATCATCAGAAATCAAATATTCAGATTTTTTCGAATTTAAAAGCTTGTTTCTAGTGCTTCTTTGAAAGTTCCTCCCTTAGCCATTATCAAATGTTGTTCACATCCAAAAGTGAAGATAGGAAGCATTAAAAATCGACGTGGATACTAAGAACATTTTCAAAAGAAGCAAACTTTTTAACTTCACTTATTTGTTAATTTCTTAATTAAAAGCTCCAATATTTAGCTTCCTAGAACCGTAAACGCAAAATTTTGATCCAATTAAAATATCTAAGCCTTGTCTATGAACAGCTCTTCTCAACGATAATTCCTATTATTTTTAAAACCACCCTCACATACCAGAAAATAGTCATAAATCTCCAAACTTCGACGGAAGGAGACACCAACAACCAGAAAAAGTTTTTTTAATTGAAAATCGATTGAATGAAATTTTAATTTTGAATTATTATGCCATATGCTTCCCTCTTTTTTTCATGCATGTGCCAAAATATAATATCATATATGGATGGTAAATTTATGAAGCATCCATGAAATTGTAAGCTGCTGCATGCGGTTGGGGTAAGAATAACTCGACTCATAAATGATATAAAAACGCATGGATGACCCGATTTTATTATAGTCGTAAAGCTCACCTGAATAAAAAAGTTCTCCATAGTCTTCATTGTTGTCGGAAAGGATTAAGCAACATAAAATGGAATCAACGAACAATGAGCACTAAAATAGTTTCCGTGATATGGTAACTTCTTCACTTTTATTTTGTTCACAATTGAAATTTTTAAGCCACTTGTTAGCTATTGAATGGCTGAACGTAGTCCTGAATTGTAACGGAATGGGAAAAGAAAAATCCTTTCAATACTTTAACTAGCTTTATTTAATCAGCTTATCATGCTGTGAATTATTTCTTTAAAATTGTTTTGACACTTTTTTCACGTCCTTTCTTTTCTCTTCCTTCCTTTGTTTTCACAAACTTAAATCTTTTTTTTTTGAAAACGCTCTTGACAACGTTAACGCGAACTTTATTTCTTTCTCGTCTCTCGACGTCCAAACAATTCAACAAATGGAATCTGAATGAGCAGAACTTCATACATGGTGCATGATTTTATTTAATTCTTTTTTTCCGATTCTTTTACAAGCTTACCGCTTTGTTGAGTGGATGGATGGATAGAATAGCAATAGTTTTTAACGTTGCTTTGTTGGAATATTTTGTGGTTAAGATTGTCACTTTGTCTATTGAGGAATGACAAAAAGTTGGTAATCATTGGGACTTTTGAAACATTTTAATGAGAGTTAAAATTTCAGTTTCGGGCTAGCTTAGCTATGTTTCTCCTTATTTCCATTCCCAGTCACAATTAGTCTGTTTAAGTTCTGCGCAGCATTGGCTCCAATCAGACTCATCCCTCTGTCACTCTCTGGCTCTCCAGACTCACTTGCATCCTTTTCAGCGTTGGTAGCGCTCAGCATCAGTAATGCTCAGCTTTATCACTGCTTAGATTCAGCCATTCTCAGCTTCAGCCCCACAAATCTTAAATTGGAGTCATCAAACCAAAAAAGCGCTTTAGCCATCTTCATTTAAATCACCTGCCCTAACAAAATTTTAGATTTTCTAGCAAATAAAAAAATTCATCAGTATGAAAATGCCCAACACAAATACGACTACATATTTCCGTGTATTGCTACATACAAGTATTGCAAGATAAACATCATTCACCACGAAAAGTCATATAGTGTCGCTTTGATGATTTGATTTGCGTCGATGATTTTGTGAATGCTCGCTTAATGTTGGAAGCGACTAGGTATTATTATTATTGCCGGTCTCACTCTCCTCTAGTCGTTGTTGTGTACATAAATTTTTTGCCATTTGAATAAATTGTATGAAAAAAAAGTAGATTATATACGTTGACGATGAGTACATACAATGTACAGCAAAAAGGTAGATGGAAATAGAAAGAGACAGAAGAGTTCTATTAGATACTTTCAGAGATATTCAACTCTAGTGTAGATTAAAAATGATTTAAGAGCTTGCCATTTGTGTGTGAAAAAAGCAAAGCAGTGCAATTCAAGTGCATCATTAAGAACAAACTTGATAGTTCTATGTCTAACTTTGTCACCTTTTTCAGCATTATTGCTGGTACTTTGGTGGTTCTTGTGATTTTTATGCTGCAGAAAATTTCTGAACAAAACTAGGAATGCATTTTCAAGTAGATTTGAAGCTTAAAAATCGTGACATGGAAGTGAATAAGTTTTTTAGATGAATTTTCACACCTTTGATAGGTTTTTGAGTGTGATTTAAGTTGATTCTCAAGTTTTTCAATTTCTTTGAGGCATTTTGTTTGGGAAAACGAAAGATTTGATTTTATTCAGACTCATGCTAGCTACCGAAGCTGATCGATGGCAGATAAATGAATGATATTGATGTGTGCCACAAGCGAATGATTATTAATAGATCTTAGAGTCATCCTTTTTAATCTAAACTAAGTCAATACAAAATCCTACAAGTTCCCATCAAAGATAACAAAACCTCATTCTCCCAAACAGATGTCACCGCAGCAGACATAATTTATGATTATATAGGAGAGATTTTTCATAGTCACAATCATAATAATAATTTAATCTTTCATGTATGAATGTGCAGCTCATTTAGACCATCGTCATTGTCATGGATGAATTTATGAATGCAGTATTTAATATATGTACATTTTTTTTTAATTATTCTTGTGCTTTCTTTTGATTGTATGATGGTGAGAACAATGGTAACAACACTTGTTTAATTCATTGCCACTGTGGTTGGAATAACATACACATGAATACGTATGCAATGCGTGGACAATAAAAATGCAAATATAAACTATGCACCCTAACCGAAAAAATAAAATATATAAATTTTTGGTATGTTTCAAGCACATCTGTATGCAGTGGATTTAATGAAAATTCACATGTAGACTTAAAAATGTAGGAATTTATTCTGATTCAAAAAAATGTTCATGTCAACTTTTAAACTCATTTTCATGTGACTTTTCTTTCACATCTGACATTATTATAGCAGCCATTTCCATCTTGTTAATTCCCTTCATCAAAATTCATCATCTTGTGGCTTATGTCTCTCACTCGTATGAGATTGCTTTTCCTACCATTGTTCTATGATTCTAGAATCTAGATGCTGATGTCGTAGAGAACAAAAGGCAATGCAAACCGACACATAAATATTTTTTATAGCCACAAGCTGATTGTTTTAATTTTTCTTTGCCACTTCACAATATTTTCGGTTTTCGAGCCTTATCAACAAAAATATTTTCTTTTCTGTGTCTATATTTATTTTGTGAACTTTGTTGCTGAGCAATAATTTTCATTTTCTCACATCTTGTTTCTTTAGTTTGGGTAGTGTGACTATATGGGAAATTTGTGATCGAAATAGAGCAGGAAATGGCTTTTAAGGCTTAATCCTTCTGCTTGGAAACAATCTAAAATTGAGAACGTTTTGATAAAATTTCTATGTAGCCACCCTAAAACTCAAGTATTGTGCACCAAAATTGTATGCAAAGCTGCTTTTTATCACAAATTTATTACAAAACAGGTTGAAATGTCAGTGGTTTTTTCCATAAATTTAATATGTTTCACACAACTTTGCTACACTGTTGCTATCTATTTAGTGATGATAATAGGAAATTATAGTATTTTATAATGTTGATGTAGAAATTTTGAATGTGTGGTTTTCAGAATCAAAATCTGATGGAATATTCAATTGAAGAATAATTTGCAAAATGTTATTGACGACCTTGTGAGCTGTGGAAATTGATTAGTTTCAAATTGAGGTGAACAATCTGAATATTGAAAATTGACCTCATTAAAATCTTCGATATTATTTCAAATTTCATCCTCTATCAAACTTAATATTCATGAAAACTACCACTAGCTATATCCAAATTAGGTCAACACAATATGAAACTCAAACATTCTAAAATCATAATTCAAATCCCACAGAAATTTTCATTTAAAATCCACACGATACATGACTAGATTTTCAATTTTCACAACCTTTAATTTTCAATATTTCACACTTGACATAAATCGAGCGAGGCGTGAAAATAAACCTAAATTAATTTTCCTCCCTAAAGCAATATTTCTAACCACCTCTGCTTTTTTTTCTCATTCTATACAATATGTAAAATTCACCGCATATACACCACAGAAAATAGAATAGAAAATCAAAGTGTTAGGTTCATAAAATTTGCATTTCTCGGAACATCGACTTTATGCATGCTTCGAGGATATTATTCTGCGCAATTGAATCCGTTAAAATGAAAGCAATATCACCATGTAAATAAACTTTATGGCATAGATGTTTAATTTGTAGGAAACGCATGTTTTAATGGCTATATAAATTATTTATTGCATGAATGGAAATTTTTGAATTTTGGGGGTTTAGAACTGCTAGTTCTTCTTAAATAGATATTTTAGTTTGTCAAGGGGTCAAAACCTTAAAAACCAGGATCTCTAGGTCTGTTGTTCAATCAAAAAGCCATAGAACCTTTACCTGTATACTTAGAGCTGTGATCATTCATGACTAGACACCTCATGCTCCATTCTACACCGAAACCCTAAAAAGTAATGTCTCCAAACATTTACTTCAATTCAGCAACAATAATGATGTCAATACCCTCATTTTCCACGCTACATCCGCCTCGTTTAAGGGATTAAATTCAACGATTTAATGGATAAATTTTAAATTCCTCGCAATAAATTACAGCAAACGATAATAATTAAAGAATTACTAAACAATGTTCGGTAATGATTTAAAGTATCATCCTGCAGTGAATACAATTGTATATAGTAGCGGATAAGCTTTATAATCCCAATTAAAACATTTAAGTGCAATCGAGTGCAATGAATTTGCATAAATATTTAATTTAATAGAAAAGCTTCCTTCCTTCCTTTTGAAATGCAAAAAGATGAAATATGTGCAGTTCACGGAAACGACAAAAGGCATGTCATTTTCATTCATGAAAAAAATCAGAATGTTTGCCTGGACAGGAAAAATAATCTTGCGACCACAACAAAATGCTGAAATAATTGAAGTATCGGCACAGTCCATAAAGTTCTTTTGTTCGCAGAAATATCATTGATGGCCTTGACATAATTTTCCACATCAAAAATGTGCTATGTACAAGAATAAATAAGTATGGCATGTAAATATTCAAATGGCAAATCAAGTGACGGAAAATATCATTATTGTGTCGCTTTTGTACAACTGATAGAGCCAGCTGAAGAGAGACGAGACTAAAATAAAAGTTTTGTGCATTAATTATTTTTTATGCTTTTTCTACAGTGCTGTTGCTTTTGTTTATGATGTGTATATGTTCCTACATTTGACATCAGTTACATATAAAGCATCATAAATGCGCATAAAATGAAGGAGACAAAAATGATGGCATGCTGTTCTGAATAATGTTTTGCTGCTTATGTTTGAGATTATGGCGGAATAAAAATGGAACTGAGAAGAAGCTTGTCTTTTTGAGTTTGACAGTATGTGGATATAAAGTTTTATATTACTAGCTTTAAGGATATCATGTCTAAAGGGAAAACTGGTTGATGTTGTTTTTCTCAGTCCTTCCGCGAATAGATAATAATTGTAATCAGATAAAGCATGTAGGTGCAGTACAAGAAAATTGTCATGGATAGGTGTGGGCGCTACAAAGTTATTATTTTCATTGGGTTCGATTGAAAGAGGTACTGATGTTTATAAAATAAAGCATCAGCTGTATCTATTGTTTGTTAATGTGACCGACTGTTTATCTTTAGTTCTTGCTCTTAAGAGGAGTAACAATTTAATAACATGAAACAATCACATTTCACTACTTCATCTTAATAAAGTCACCAAAATCCGCTGTTCCTGGACACTCTCAACTTGTCCTCAACATTTCAGTAAAATTGAGCACATGACACAGTAAATAGTTAACGAAATAGCAAGGGAAATGATGATTGATATTGATAATAAAAGGGGCACAAAAAATATGCGAACAAGAACAATTTATCATCATCAGCACTTTGGTAACACGAGTTAATTACCTGTCTTCATTACGATTTTTCGTTATCCACTCAGTTATGCATATTCGTACATATTTTAATATCTACAAGGGATCACAATGATTTTTCAGTTTATTCTCTTCTCCTCATTGTGGCCAATTATGATGGTGTATGGATGAAAAACAAAAAAATTGTCTGTCATGAGTCATGACACTGCGTGACTGCTTTGTTGCTCTTATTTTAACATAAAATAATTACTTTTATGCTTTAGAAATATTGTTTTAATATCTAACAACCTCATCAAGTCACAGAACGAGGAGAGAGAAGTTAAAAGTCAACGTTCTGCCTTTTCCAGTAAAATAAGTAGATTTTTTTTTGTGAGCAATGTTGATTCATTAGTGCAATTATGAGCCTCAACATTGCGATGCAAAAGTAATTGTCGGCTTTTCTTCCATTGTTTGTGTTCCTTCTTTATATTACTTACATGCCTGGACGAGCTCTCATTTTCTGGAAATTTGCACACACGCTCTTTTTTTCTGATATGTGACTAGTCTTAATAAGTATGCGAACAAAAGATTTCTATTGCGGAAAAAATTGTCAGGTTAAAAGAATGTCATTAAAGTTCTTTAAACTCCATCCAGTAAAACAAAAAGATTTTCTTTCATTGATTAAAAATTTCATTCGAAATTTCATTTTATTTTTTTTCTGATTTTTTTAATTATTTACAGTTATTCTTTTGATTAATGTATTAACAATCTACGGTAAATCTACTTATTATTAAAGATTTTTTTTAGGTTATATTTCCTTTTGAGGAATTTTGAGAGATTTTGTAGGCAAGAACGTCTTAATTTTAACATTATTACTTGCGCTTTGATTTTTGTAGGAACATTCAGTAGATTAGACAGGAACATTTGATATACTCTGAAAAGGATTAGTGTAGCTTTAACTGAGAAATTCCACCCAGATCAAGACATATTTAAATGTTAACTAGACAGTAATTAAGAGGATAATATGCATAGAACTATCGGAACTATGGCAAGACACTTGGAATTCTAGTTGCTTCGTAGTTTTTTTGCATCCTATCCTCTTACTTACTGTCTAAATATCATTTCAACGTATTCTGATCATCCATAATCATAGCCAACAACCTTGACCATTAAAATCTCACAAAATCCCTCACAAGGGTTATCTTTACGGATTCTCTACTGTTTATTAATAATATTAAGAAAATTATTCATGTGAATTAAATTATATTCACATATTCGGTTTATTTGTAACATTTAGCTGTGGCTGTGTTATTTTTTTTTTTGCAAAAATAAAGTAAAGCAGAAATGTGGAAAACATTTGTTTTTTTGTGGATTTAGATCACGGTTCTTTGAACTTTTTTTTGTAGGCCTTCCTTTGGTTTCAATTACGAATGTGAATTTATATTAAAAAAGTTGAAACGTCATTTTCATGAAATTTTAAATATAGAACTTTACGGTACGCTTTTATCCCCCCTCACTTTACTCACGTATTTTATATCAGTTCCTTAAAAAAAGGGAACAAAATACTCAAGCTGCGTTCACAAATTGAGATTTATATTTAGAAAGTTTACTGATGGGGATGATAAAGAATCTTTCACCGTATTGACTGGAAATACATTTTAAGATCTTATCACAGAAGGCTCAATTTTCATCCAAAGAAAGCGAACAGTAGGTGCGGATTTTGTTACAAAATGGTTTTATCTCATTTTGCAATTTGTCATTGAAATATCGATTTAATGGGATGAAATTTGCAAAGGAGGGGGAATTCAATTATTTGATAAATATTATGTTGCTAAATACTTAGTAAGTATCACAGTTCAAGGAGAGTTTAGCAACATGCTGCGCTGCCTGGTGTGATTGAAACTTCTCTAGTAATAAATTAGGTGATTATTTTTTTGATTCAGTGTTGTTTGTCAGGGAATGATCCAATGCTAGCAAACAGAAATTTTTGAGTTCTTATTATTCGAACTTCGAATTTTTAAGGTTCTTATTTGTCGAAAATCGAATCTTCGAAGTTCTTATTTTTAAAAAAATTCGTTGTGAATTATTATTTTTCGAGTAATTTGTAATTTTAGTGAACATTCCTACTAGTTTTTATGATTAAGATAATCACTGTGATGAAATTGCATTCCTTAAATGTTTATGCTTTAAAAAACAGCTAGTTTAAAAAAAATTAAAAAGTAACGGACTTTTTATATTGAAATTTTAAAAAAATACCGCACGAAAATTTTGAAATTTTTTTGTTTGTAACGGACTCTGTTCTCTTTGCTAACATTGGGGAATGATAAGGTTTGAGTCTTTCTGTGATTAAAATTTGGTTCGTTTGGACCTTCTTGGATCTGAGTAGACTAGCCCAGACTTTTCTAAACATACCTAATCTTATCTAATCCCATCTAATCTTTGGTATTGCTCAGATGTGTCTTTATTCAGTCGACTAAGATAAATATTGACCATATCTGGATAATTATGTTAAGCTTATGTAAATTCTGGCTGCTGGATTTCTTAGAAATCAGACTTTCTCAAGGATTAGGGTCAATAACACAGCTATGATCTGATCCAGCCAAAACAATGTTCCCACAATCCTGACTTATTAAAATTAGACTAGCATGAACTTTTATTTACTCATCGATCACAATCAAATTTTCATTTTGAGCTTCTTATTAATTTACAATAAAAAATATTCCTTATGCTGATAAATATTTGAAAAATGATTTAACAATAAACTTAGACAACAACTTAGTAGATTTTCATATACATAGAAAAAAGGACAGAATTACGATAAAAAAGTTAAATTTATCATCATTAAATTCTATTGTGTATCTTTGGTTTCACTTAGCTGTAGATCTCTTTCTCGAAAGAGATAAAAATTTAATTTTTTCGTCTATTTACAAAACAGGAAAAATTTTCATTTCCATTTTCGTCGATTCCTTTTTTGTTTACGATGTCAACACATCATAATAACTTCTCTCATTTCGTCCCTTTTTTTTATTTACGAAAGGAAGTAAAATAATATTATATATGATGAATATATGCCGAAGAGTCTTCGATACACTCATCATTTATTGAAAAACTTTTCAATTGGAAAAGTTTGATTTATTATATCGAAAAAAAAAAGTTTTTTATTTCATAACGTTCTTCTTCACATTCGCTTACGTGTTTATGCATAATTTAGTGTGTTCGTGTGGTGAAATAAAAAATCTCTCATGTCACATATCCTCAATACTTTGTTGCCTTTAAACATGTTTACTTATATTGAGTTGTATATGATATTTCACTCAGTTTTTGTATGTTTTGTGTCTGCAAATGCTGGATTTTGCTAGGAATTGATGGGATGTTTGGTGCCTAGGAGTCGAACCAGTCGAGATCTTAGTTAAAAGTTCGAGAATTTGTGAATTGAAGAATTTTCAAAGTCATATTGGTTGCTAAAGTATGACTTCATACAAACTTAACCTTAAACTACAAAAGACAACATTTGATCCGAAACCTAAATAACAAATATCCATTAATTCTTAGTAAACCCAAATTCCCTCAAAGCTACACTTTCATCTCATTCATTCAAAGAAATTTAACATCTTCATTTTCGTATATCCAATATTAAATTCATGAGAAACTTCATTTTGATTAATATGTAGTGAGAATTCCTTTGCGGCATATGTTTATGATCGTATAGATTTTTGCGAATGTTCAAAAAACATGAACGGATACACATAATAATTTATGTATACATGCTTATAAAAAAATCTGCTGATTGGAAATACATGAGCAGTTCTGATATTATTTTCATTTATATTTAAAATTCAATTTTCCAAAAGCTCTCCTGATGTATTACAAAAGATCATGTGGCTTTCCTTGTAGTTGTTTGTGATGAGACTTTGGCACGAGCACTTTTTGTCGTTACATGTTGTTGTCTATTCGAGTTTATTTGTCTTCTCGTACTTCTTAGCTCATAAACACTATTATTACTACTGCTATTATTATTAGAATTAGTAATATTAATATTATTATTGGAATTGTGATTTATTTCAGTCTGATTATTTAACATTAATTCATCGTGGAAGGCTAAAAAGCCAAGTTGTGGATGTGATGCCTCATTGAGGGCCCTTGAGCGTATACACGCACGATATTGATCGGCAGACATTTTTTGACCATTTTGTGAACCGGAACAGACCTTAAGTTCGTAGTGGAAAGAAAAGAAAGACATAAATGTAAGAAGAAATAAAGGAACGAGACCGAAATTTAATCGAATTAGGATTCATCCATTCATTTTCTGTCTAGCTGAGCAGGGTTGGAAGATGTTTGAAGCAGTTATCAATATTATAAATTAACTCAATTACTGAATATTGATTTGGTAATTTAAAGCTCAACCATGCTGCCTGAACATCCTCAAACCCTGCTCAATTCTTAAAGAGTTCGAGAAAAAAGCAAATTCTCACCTTCGGATGCCAAATGTGAAATATTCCAGGATCAGTAGCTCGAATTACTTTAATATTTGACCTAACATATTTACGATATAACATTACATCCTCATATCCCCAACTTTGTTTATCAAATCGTTTGTATGTAAAATGAGAAGCAATAAAAGAGAGAAAAGGACACAAAAGATTTATTCAACTTTTCAATAAGGAACTAATGCAGTTGAAAATTACCCAACACTCTCTTCATCGAATCCTCGAACCTTAAGGAAATCAGATCGATATTGGCATGTCATACCGTAACCAAAGTCTCGCCAAAATCCAGTATCTCTCGAGATTACAAGTTGATCCGTTTCAGATGGCATTTCTTTACCTTGCAGCGTATAAACTACGTGTGGATTATACAGACTGAAAACTACCGGATAGTAAACCTGAAATTACAGTAGATAAGAAGACGATAAAATGGAATATAATAAAGCGGAAGGTTTTTTGTGTGCTGAACAAGAAAAAACGAGGATCGGAATGAATTTGTAGTTTGCTTCATGGACATAGCGCATTTTAAGGACATTAAAGTGCTGTCTAGCTCTGTTTTACATCCAGCAAACCACTTCACTCAGCCTCATAAGCCAAAAAGGACAAAATGATTCCATAACCTCAGCATATATACAATACGGAACCTCCATCAGGAAACAAAAGGATGTAGAAAGAAATTCATTAAAATGTAATGAGGATTTTTTATGTTCTGCGGCAATAGCCGGTCACAACCAATGTTGAAGCTTATGGCTTTATTTCAGTATGTATAATATATAAATGTTGATAGTTGGAACTATCAATTCAGAATGAAAGAGGGTTGGACAAATTGAACACGGAAATACAATCACATAAGAGGATGAGAATCTATTGCTATGTATATGGCCATTTCTTCTTCATCACGAGCTCATCGATTCATCTCAATAACTCACTTTACGATTTGGCTTAGTATTCCATCGACATCGGTCTAGGAATTTTGCACTAAATACAATATCCACATCGCACATAAAAAGTAAAACGTCCTTATTATTCTTCCCTCGACTTTTATCCTCATTCCATATCTGTTCCGCTCCGACTCGAAGTCCTTTTGCTGTTGTTGCAGTCATTATATTGAAAATTAAGTGTATTGCGATTATGTAAAGGAAGAAAGAAGGAGAAGAAATGCAATTAAATACTTCCGTACGTTTTATTTCTGCATTTGGGATAGATAAAAGTAAGTGCAGACAAAGGTTGAATCTTTTATCATGTCAGCAAAGCAAGGGGGTGACAGCTAAGACAAAACAAAGACACAACCTTGTAAAAAGGTCACTTACCTCTAGAAAACGTTTCATTTAAGGCTAATAATTTTAAATTGGAAGAATAAGCACTTTTCTGAGCAACAATGCGTTTCATAATTTGTCGTGCCTCAGAGAGACCATCCTCGCCGAAATAAACGACTGTTAACTGAACACGACGGTCATTTTTTAGAGCAATTTTTACAAATTTATCCATAAATCCTTGAAATGTTGCTATACGTCCGGATAGCGGTAAAATGATGTGAATGATTTCCTTCTCAGCCGTTTTAGGAAATCTTTCAATTTGTATGGTCTGCAGCGGTGCAAACGGTCTCATAACAATAATTTTTGTCGTACCATGATCATTATGATGAGATGATGATGACGATGGTATTGGACTATTTGTCTTATTATTCATTTCTTTCGTACGAAAATAAAGTTCATATTGTGTACCAGTTGTTGGCTCATTACGATAAATTCCTTCGATAAAATCATCGAGTGTGTACCGATGATTCGGAAGGGTGGCATTTTTATTTAACGACTCTAAGGCTCGATTGAGAGCATCAAGTAAATCTTTTCGTTTATAGCCTATCGGCTTCTCAACTACTCGCTTTCCTAAACCTAAATCTATTGGATAAACTCGACTGAATGTGAAATGATTGAACGGCACCAATTCATATTCATTATTCATTGACATTCCATGAAGGATTTCAGCATTCCCAACTTGTCGACGAATATAATTTGTACAATCTAGTTGATACGATGCAGATTGCTGCTGCTGTTGAGGTGATACTGATGCTGATGTATTTAGTGCCATCAGCTGGTCTGATATTATTGCATTGTCTGTTAAATTGGGAAATTTATTAAATATTGAGTTCTGGGACAAATAACTAGATGCTCGAATCTTACTTTTTAGTTGAAACAGCTCTATTTTAAGATTTTTAATCTCAGCTTTAAGTTTCGCAATTTCTTGCTGATTTTCTTCTTCCCGCTGCTCCATTAACAACGTATGTTGCTCTTCATTACGCAAAGACGACCGTACTGGATGTGAAATAGCTAAATTAATGTTTTTGGGAAGACATGAAACAACTTTCGTATACCAAAAATAGTCTTAATTAATTAGCCTACCCTCATCGATACCATTGTTGTCTAGAGCACCGCTAAGTCCGCATTTTGATAATGCCAAGAGTGATATTAAAGTCACAGAGGAAATCAACAGCAACATTCTTGCCAATATTGTTATACCCATGTTTATTCTCAAAGGAAAAGTGTCACATTTTTTGTCATTATTGAGTTCTCTGGAATATAAAGTAGAAAAATATTTAATTAAATTAAATTGTTTAGGAAATTGGATAATTAGGGTAGTAGGAAAGATTGGATTGAAAGAAAATTGAGTAATTTTAATGATGGTGTTAAGGATAATTGAAGAAAAGCAATGAGTTTCCCAGAGTTTTCACAATTTTCGATCTTGAGAGGTGAAATCCGTTAAATAACGGAATGAAATTTAAAATTTCTGGTTGCATACAATTTAGGCGAAATTTTTTTCGAATTTTTTACAGCCGTTGGGCTGCTGCTTTATTCAGACACGCTCGCAATTCTTCTTTATCCCCAAAATTTAAAATCACATTCTTTATTGTCTGGCTTCTTTTGGAAGCAATTAAATTGGTTTATAAGCACTAAGCCGTGTATAAACACTTAACCAATACCAAAACATTACAATTTGTGAATCTGCCTGACCAAAAAATTCATTGTTGTGAAGAAGTCTGAATATATTTTTGATTAAAATTATTATTTTCTTTAATTTTACGTTTTGTGGCTTGAATAATTAAGTAAATCAAATGTAAGTATCAATAACAGAAAAAATAGAAACTGTATAAAGTGAAGGAAATAGCAAAAATGGTGTGTGAAAGTTTAAATCATCAAAAAAGTGCAACAAGTGAAATCAAAACAATTATTATTCGACCTCTCCTACATTTTCTAATGAATTCCGGAACATTACTTTAAGTGTTAATACATTAAAAATGAATCATCTATCTGCTGTTCCTTAGTATAGAGTAAAAGTAGTGAATTTTTATGGAATATTCCGGCATGTAATGACTCATCAAGTTCAAATTTCCACTTATGACATTAATTTGTGTTTTCGCTGTATCTTCTAGTAAGATATATAGCCACTCTTATCTCCAATATCGTTCGTACATACACACATATACATCCAGTAATATAAATATTCATACGCAAGCAAAAAAGCTATAAAAGAAAATCTTTGTATTTCGAGACCTGATTATTATTTGTTAATTAATGCATTCGTCGTAATTTTCTTTCTCTTTGTAGATATATTTTCATAAAGAACATCAAATTTATTGTTTGAGCTTCATAGATAACTAATAAAAACCGCACAATATGGCAGATCAAGGATCATCAAATGGAGCGTAAGTTATGAGCCAACATAAATATTTATGATTATGCTTCGTGATTGCTTTTTTGCAAACATTTTAAGCTAATTTACTGTAAATTTCTTGTGTCGCTGTCGTGAAGCAACAAGTTTTGATGAGATGATGACGTCATTTTTCGTTTTACAATCTTTATTTTTTGACGGTGACGCTAGTGCTAATGGAATTCTTTATTCATATTTCTTATGGACTTAACACAGTTTATTTGTTATGGATTCTTGACATTTTCGCTGTAAATCTTCCTTGTTGTTGCATCAACAAAATTGCATAGTGTTTTATGAGTGATTTAAAAGTTATAGTTGCTAGTAGAATTTCCAGTATTTTTTTTTACATTGAAATCAATGAAGTTTTTAATTGTGATAATTTATGAAGACTCATCTCGTGATTATTAATTGTGACATTGATCGGTTTTAGAATTAAATCGAATAAAAAACTAGAGTTCAGTGCTACTTCTAAGATTCAATCTTACTGAAATGAAATCAACTTCAAACGGATTTTTATGATTCAAATAAACTGAAATAAAATGAAGTTTTAACGACTTTTTAAAATTAAAATGAACTGAACTGAAACGAACTTTTTAACGGTTGTTTGAGATTCAAATGAATTGAAGTGACACGAACTTTTTAACGGTTATATGAGATTCAAATAAACTGAAATGACACGAACCATAGAACTGAGATGAAGTTTAATATTAATCGACTTTCAAGCAACATTAATATTATAATTCAGCAATTTGTTAATATTGTGCATTTAACGGTGAACATAATTTGTGAAAATCATAATTATGAAATTTGCTCCAATTTTCATGTTTTTATCACCAACCAAAAAGAAAGTATCATCTTGCCATGAATTTAGTCTCGATCTCGTCAAAACTTTAATGCACACCTTTTTATGTTTCTTGAAAATAAAACTTTTGTGTGAAAATTGAATTAATTTACATAAATTTTTCTCCGTTGCTTTATGTCATCCCCAAAAATTACAATAAAATTAACCACATCTTGTTACATTTTATAATGAATGAATGAATTTAAAACCAAAGTTTTCCACTACTTCCACCTCCTCCAAACAGCTCGGCAAGCAATCAAAAGAATAATCGATTGACACAAACGCAACAAAAGGTCGATGAAGTTGTTGGAATCATGCGTGTGAATGTTGAAAAGGTTTTGGAGAGAGATCAAAAATTATCGGAATTGGATCATCGTGCTGATGCCTTACAACATGGAGCCTCACAATTTGAACAGCAAGCTGGTAAATTAAAGAGAAAACAATGGTGGGCAAATATGAAAATGATGATCATTATGGGACTTATTGGCATTATTCTATTAATAATCATCATAGGTGAGTTTGATTTTAATTAACTTTTCGGACGAGGACCTTTAAAAAAATTTGGAAATGGAATCTTTAAACTTTATGTGTCTTATTAATGTGTAACTTGTGTCCAAAAAAATGATGTTAATTTTAATAAACAAAAAATTCATATTATGGCTTCTAACATAATTCCCGCATAAATTTTCAGCCTAACACTTTAACTGATTCTATAATATATTAATTACTATTCCTTTTCATGCTTTCCTGTATAGCAGCATAACAAACATAACATAATTTCCACTGTAAATATCTGTGTCTGTTGATGGTTGATAAGACTTTTAACATGTGTTTTGGATTACATATATTAATTTTAGGCAGAGTTGTCAGATAGGTACCTTTGAAAAGGTGCCTCAACGGAGCATGGTAGCTTTTGCCTTTGTCTAGTCAATACCTAGGTATAGGCAAGCCTAGCTAAAGGCAAAAAAGTGTGTCTAGTCAAAGGTACTGCCTAGCCATAGGCACTACCTAGAAATAGGTGTACCTAGCCAAAGGCAAAAAAGTGTGCCTAGTCAAAGGTAATACCTAGCTAAAGACAATGCCTTTGTAAGATTAAATCTACTATAGAAATTGCCTTTTACCTTTAGTCTTACTCGTTGAGTTTTTGAACAATAATGCAAAATTTCTTTTGTTTGAACCATTGAAAAACTATAGACCCCCTCCAAATGACTGAAACGCCGAATTTTGATTTATCCAAGGCGACAAAATTTTTGATAACGACAAATTAAATTTTTTAAATTTTCGACGTAGCAAATTATTGGTTTAAAAGAAGGTATGATTCACTATTATTCACTAAAGGTAAAAGGCAATTTCTATAGTAAATTTAATCTTTGATAGGAATTCGATAGGTGACAACTCTGATTTTAGGTGTGGTGTGCTGGTGATGGGGTGATGATTGTTATAAAATCAACATACCCCCACCGTCTGTTAGCACACCATTTAACTTAAACAACATTTTATCTGAACAAACTAATATTTAACATCAATTTTTGGGAAATCAAATTTATTAACCAAACCATACTGCAATTGATGATATTTAATTATAATCTCATGATACAAAAATCTATGGGGTGATTATTTAGGCCATTGTCGAGTTTAGTCACATAAATTGCTATGGACAATTTACATTTTAATTGAATTTTATCCAAAATTGGATTTTTGTGAATATGAGCAACATGCAAACAATGAATATGAATCATTAGCTGTCCATTTCAAAATAATAAATCAAAATATCGCTTGCCTTCTTGTTCCTAGCTCCAACTTAAATTCATATTCAGTTGTTATAGGAAAATAATCAGGAGCAGAAAAAAAAGTTTTTTATTTTATTGGATATGAAAATCTCGGCACGTAGAAAATGTAGTTGAGAGTATGTTGCGTAACGATTTCGCATAGCATATAGAATTATGTTGAAAAATAAATCAAAAGCTTCTGCTACATAAATCAAACGTTTAAATCAATATGCTTTCTGCTCAATCTACGTGAGCGACTTGCTCCATTTTTTTCTAGCTCATTTCTTGTGCATTTTTGCGAGATTTTAATGATTGTAGATTGTCAGTTTGGGAGAAATTTGCTAAAATCTATAACGGATTCTTGAAGTTTGAAATTTACAACAGATTTTTGAATTTTCATAAAATTTAAATCTTAAAAATCCGTTATAGAGTTTGAATTTCAGAAAACCGTTAAATCTTGAATAAAATAAAAATATTCTTGTTGAATCTTTCGAATCCTCAACTAATGTCAAATCAATGCGCTTTAGTCTTCAAGCATTACTCAATTTCATCCCCGTCTTTATTACATATAAATTCTTCATACATAATATGAGTGCACAGTTCATTTTTCTACTAAATTTATGTTATTATATCGATTTCAATTTGAAATATATTCATCTTCGATGTATAAAAGATTGAAATTATTTTTTGTTTCTGTTGCGTCAATGAGGTATGATACTATGTATGGAATATAAAGCATTCCGTAGAATTTATGTTAATGTTATGATGTTGCGGCAATGTAAAGTTTTAATGATGATACTGTTGCGTACTTACTGGTAGAATAAAATCATATTTTTTCAGCATATTTTCATATTTAAAAGGATAATTTATGTTTAGACTAGTCAGCAGAATTCGTTGATTTAACAAGGAGAAATAGGGATGGTTACTTTAAGCTTAATATATTCATGATGCTCATTAGCATGCGGGCTTTTATTGCTACTGCAAAATTCTTCATTTCCTTTCGTTTTCATCCTCAACACTTGAGAAGAAAATGAGAATTGGAATGAATGAAAATATCCGGCATTTTATTTTCATAATAACAATAAAAATAATTATAGTTAAAAGAATAATAACCCAAGCACTCGAGTTTATTCAGAAAATGAGTAGGAAAGTTATTGTAATTGGATATGATGTAGTAGATGGAAATGATAAAAAAAAGTTGTTCAGAATGAGTTGCTAGGGTGAAATTAAGGTCAATAAAGCTTTTGAGATGCTGTAAAGCTCTTATTACATTTTATTGTCTAGATTAAAGCTCGAATTTTATGTTTTTATGCAGAATTTATAGAATTTAAAATTTAACGGTTATTTTAGATTTGAGTTTTTGCTTCAATTTTCGCATCTTTTGAAAGAACATTAAATTTGAATATTTTTTGTCTGTTAATATTTAAAATTAAAATATTCAGAGCATCAAATCCAATTTAATTCATTTATCAGTTCAACAAACTTTACATTGTGGCAACATTATTTTAAAAGACAAAACGAATCTGTAAACATGAGAAATTTTTGCATTTATGAAAAAAAAAAGAAGAACTTTAATTCAACGGATGATGATTATGATGATTGTGATGTTAATTTCCTCCTTTAAAGCAAGCAAAGAACATTTTTTTAAAATATTCTCTATCTTTTCATTGTTGTGTTCTTCGTTGTTCTGCGATTAAAATTGTTTATGCTTTAAAAAAATTCTTTCTGCTAATTATAATTTTTAATATCTCTCGACTGTACAATTGCCTTAATCTTTTATTCTTTATGAGTTTAATTTATGGACTTTTGGAAGATTTGATGACTTTTTTAATTGAGAGGCAATTTTTGTCAGTTTAAGTATGCACGAACTCCTTAATATTAAGTCTTAAAGCTTCAAAACTGTATCCTTCTTTAATGTGTATCCTTGCGTTGGTTCCTTAAATATTTTGTCTTCCTCGCTATTAGCAATTTATTTGAATAGATTGAAAACTAACAACAAATAAATCTTATTTCCTTTAATTTTTTATTAATTCAGTATTAATATGGTGGAATTGGCCAGAAAAGTCTCAATAAGCATGTGACAGGCACCAACAAGTGTGTGGGTAACAGATTATTGACTAATAAATATGAACGATGTGGATGAGTTGATTACTAATCTAGGACTTTGGAATTATTTTGCCAGATTTTTGTTATTTTTTACATGAAAAGCTTTTAAGCTTTTTGCTGCATTTGTCATGCTCTAGCATAGAAATTACATTTTTGCATTTACTGGCACAACTTAACATTTTGGACCCAAACAATTCGACACTAGACAACAACTAATTTTATGACAACAGCTGACATTCGTAAATTTATTTTCTGTTTAATTTCAGTTATGCTCTTTAAGTAATAAGATATCCACATAGGTGCATCCAATTTTAATGTATTCTTCTTCACAAACATACACACAAACACGCGGCTGAGTAACAACATACTATCATTAATCATAATTATGTTATAAAATGATTATAACTTTCTAAGAATATATATTTTTTTTTGTTTCATTTCTTTGTGTTCTTTACGTCTTTATGAAAAAAATTATGAAAGAAAAAAATTATATAAATGTACTTTATTTTCCTGCATCCTGGAAGAAACATATTGACATTAAAATCAATATTCTTTTATTGCTTTATTTTGTGTGTTTAATGTACTAAATTCAGAGAGTTTCTCATGCATCACATAAATCGAGGAACTACCCATATTATTGTTATAAAAATAAATTTATTTTATGTAGCATCATAGTCATTTTGTTTGGGGACACATGAATTTCATTGAAATTCATTGCATTATAATAAATATCAATTATGAACGGATGAAAAATATTGTTTGTGTGGTTTATCAATCAGCTGCTGTTTATGGTCGAACAAGGGATGTGGAAGCTCTTTTATTGGATATTTATGGGACGGTAGTGGTTACTAGGAGAGTCAGGAATGAGTTGATTGGGAAAATATAGTTTATTTCTGGTATTTGTCACTATGCGAATAGATTTTCCGAATTTAAACGTCATCTTTAGTAGCTTAGCATCAGAATAAGTCTTTAAAGGTTTAGGACAGAATTTTAGAGAAAAGTCAAGTCGAAATTGAGCTCTAGCCTTGCTCCATCCGCTTAGGAACAGATCTGTCTAAATGACAAACTATTCAGTGCCAATCCACCTTAATTACCTCCTCTGATCCACACTCCCAATACAACATCAATAAAATTATAGTTCATAATCAGTTCCTACTGCTGTGTTCAATTACTCGCTCCTCAATTTCCAATAAAATCACTTCATCAACAATTTTTAAATTATGTTGTTAAAGTATACAGCACACACAAGCTCCAGCAATCAATCAACAACTCCTTTTAAACTTTTTTGCGTAGGCGCCGCTTATAAATTTATCAACAAAACATTGAACTTATCAAGTTTGTTTACAAACATAACTCATTCAATTTATTTTTCCTATATCTAAAAATAAAACGGTACTCAAAAAAAAAAGTTTCTCAGAGCTGTCAGGAAGTAACTGGTTGAGATGTTTGAGGAATTTTGTGCTGGCGCGTGTAGATTTGTTTATTCAACTTTAGATATTGCTTATTATTATGTTAATTTGTAATTAAAAGAGGAAAAAGTACAGGAGTACGCACTAGGCTTCCATGAAAAGTTTGAGCAGTTAACAGTTATTGCTGATTGGTAAATAAAAACGTCCAAAACCTCCTGTTTTGACATCC